CCAACTTACACTACTATGACATGTGGAATTATGCTGGTTTTGTGCCCAGGGTCACAGTGAAAAGAGAAGCTGGCTTTAGCCTTCAGTCTATATCATTGTAATATACTCATTTACTGCTGGTTTCCTGCTTTAAGAAATTGTAGTTTCAAGGAATATTGTAGGCCGCTCTCTCTGTGGCTTTCTCTTTACTGCTTCTTGCTTTCTTCACAGATTTCTAAACAAAATAATTTTAACCTTGTCACTGCAGCAGTAGCAATAAGCCAAAATATAGAAATACAGTCTAAATATTTTAAAGATTTCCTTTATGAGGAAAGCTTTTCCAAGTGCCTGCCAGGGCAGCAGCATGTGCGTGGGGGCGTGGGGATTGGAAGGACAGCTGTGCTAAAAAATTCACTCAGGAGGGGGTAATTGTCTACTGCACTCTTTCAGGAGGTTTATTTTGGTGAGAAGTTTTAAATTTTAAAAGGATTCTGCGGAGAAAGAGCTCCTAGTAATATCAGCTGAGCTGTTACCTCTGTGTGCACTCAACACACCTTTTCTGTTCACTTTTGCAGGCAAAGCTGCCGTCCTGAGTTAGTTGGTGCTGGAGGTTCTACACATCAACTTGTGTCATTTCTTAAGCCTTGGAAGTTGACTGCCTCTTTAGAATCATGAAATATCTCAGATTGGAAGTGTTCTATAAGGATTGAGTACAACTCCCTGCTCCTCTCAGGACTACTCAAAACTACAGCTACAAGCCTTTTTTATAAATTGATGTTTTTGGATGACAGGGCAAGTGTAATAATATTTTTCTTGATATTTTTTGAGCTTCTGCAAATATGTCTATTCTGAAATCCCTGGTATAATTTACACTAGGATAGTCAGTCCTTCATCCCTGCTGTGTCAGAATGGTGTCAGGCTAGATTCCCTGAAAAGTACATTTGCATGTTCCCTAGTTTGAGCTAATATAATAGTACATATTTTGAGAACAGTGGCAGGGGGGAGGTGTTCCAGGCAGATGTATGCCTGATTAGGAGCTCAGGTGTTCAGGCTGGGTTTGTCACTGATTTGTATGGCATTGGGCAAGTAATTTGAGCAAAGTTATTCTTTCTCCATCAGTAAAGTAAGAAGCTATTTCACACATATGTCAGAGAATCAATTAGGGTATTTTACAAAATTTGAAAGCTGGTAAACACCCTAATTATTAGGGTGAAAAGCCACATAAAGTGGCTTTCAGTTATTAAAAGGGAAGGTATTACTTTTATAGTATATACAAATACCACAAAACATTCCCTTTCACTCCTTATTTCCTGCCTCTCTCTATTTGCTTGAGCAGAGTTTCTGCCTTTCTAAAGTTTTATCCCATTTCAGAAATTGATAGCAGCAGAGGAATTTTCAATCTTTCTGTCATAGGACGGAGTGATAAGAAAGCAGTTTTCCTGTAATGAAGAACCTGGAATGCCCCAACTATTCCAGTTCTTCCTCTTGTACTCCCACAGGTATAAAATAAACGGTTACAGAGAGTGTTGCTTCTCCCTACCTGCATAGCTGTTATGCTACATATATTGCTTTTCTGCTTTTCATACACTTGCCATGCTAGCAAGGAAGTTGTGGGTGCATGGGGGCTGGGAGGAGACACAACCAGGACAGGTGACCCCAACTGTCTAGAAGGGTATTCCAGACCATGTGACATCATGCTAAACATATAGAGATAAGAAAGAGGACAAATGAAAACATTCGGAGTGATAACCTTTTTTTTTCCCAAGTGCCCGTTACATGTGATGGGGGCCCTCTCTTCTGGAGATGGCTGAACAACTGCATTCCCTTGGGAAGCAGTGGATTGATTCCTTGTTTTGCCTGTGGGCATGGGTTTTGCTTTCCCTCTTAAACTGTCTGTATCTCAGCCCATGAGTTTTCTGGCTTTTACCATTTCAATCCTCTCCCTAGTCCTACTGGTGGGCAGTAAGCAAGCAGCTGCCTGGGGCTCGGCTTCTGGCAGGGTTTTTAAACTATGACACCTCTTTAACTGTAGTAGTATACAAAAAAGTGCTACATGATTGCTCTATCAGTCTTTCTTAGTCGCTGTGATCCTTTTATTAAAATTCCATATTATTGTCTATGTTTAAATGCAAGAGAAACCTTACTATTTATACTTACCTGTATTTATAATGTATGCCTTCACAGAAAGCATGTTTGCGTTCTCCCATGAGCCTGTATATACTGACTCCAAATACAGATACACCGAACAATTATGTTACGTTTTAAGAAACACTAAAATCATCCTCATCTTTGGAAGCTGATTTGTTAGTTATTGAGTTTTTGCCGTAGAAAGAAATTAAAAACTTGGTTGCAAAGGATAGCTTTTTTTTTTCAATTTTAAACATGAAAATATTTGCATGTAATAATTTCCGCGCTTTGTTAATTGCATCTAACTTCCATAAAGGTTCTCAGTAATGATGGAGCTTAGATTTCTACATTATATCTCTGGCTGTTGATGGACAGAAATTACATGTTGACAGACATCTTAGTATTTCTGCAGCTGCTTAGGTATCCTTGGGGTAGTGCTTATACAGCAGCTAGGGAAAGGAAAAAAAAGGTGATAAGAATGAACAAACAGGAAAATATAATTATACTCTTAATACCTACAGAACTTCCTCTGAGAAGAGTAATGTAACCTGCACAGGATAAACTCAGCTGTTGAATGGAGGACTGTCTTTCATTACAAATTTGGCTAATTTTTTGTGCTATTTACTTGAAACTTTTTGAATAAACGGTTAATAACACCGTTGAGGAATGCATCATTCTCACTCATTTCAATAAAATAATTTCTCAGGTTGTGGTTATTAGTTCCAATGGCTTAATATAAAACATCTACCTATATTTTTTTATTTAAATAAAGGATATTTCTGTCAGGCATAGCTATATGTATAACATATAAAAATCAACAAAATTCTTTAATGCATGTATTAATCATATTCTTGATGTTCTACATAACTGTCCATTTGTCAGCTATTATGCCATTGAACAAAGGCACTATTTTTCACTGAAAACCTCAGTAACTTTTTTTTGTTATGCTTATCTTCCAGAAAAATGCCACTGTGTCTCACTGATGAGAGAATTAGTTGGTTTTGTATTCAAAGTTTTCTCTCCCATTTAGATCGAAAGGCAACTGTAAAGGTTTAACATTTGCCCATGAAAGACCACAGCTTTATGTGTTTGTCTATATTTTACATTTACTATAGTACTGGGTCATCACTTAAGCATTTCTTTGTTCAATAAAATCTAGTACTATAGAAAAGGGAGAGATTTGTTCAGGCATATACTTTGGAATATAACTGATTGCTAATCTAACAATATAGGAATTTTTCTTTCCATTTTTTGTCTTTCATGGGTTTGGTTTGATGTATCTCATTACTTTTTAAAGAAAGAGCAAAAAGAAGTAGAAAAGCAGGTCCTCTCTCCTCTCTTGAAGTTATTATGCGGATAACATGTTCTTTCCTAAGTACATATTTCAACCTTGAGTTTTGTTTTACAATTTTGAAATATCAGTTCCTACAAATAGTAAATCTAGTCATTCTGAGTGAAATATATCCAGCTTTTAATAAATGCAAGGGAAAACCTAATGTTTCTAATGAAATACAGAGAGAACTTAGTTGTCTGACTGTTTTGGGAGATTACCCTGAAAAGGAAAGAGCTGTCAAGGGAATAAAAAATGCCTAAGTACTGTAGCATTAAAGGAGGTTGTATTTATTCTGTTTGTAAGACTAATCCTGTAGTTTCTTGTGTTTAGAGCTATGTGTTTATAAGTCATTCTAAATACTTTCATATAAATACATTATAAACATTAAAGCTTTTCTTTATTTCAAATGTTACCAGCAGATTTTACAAATCTGAGCAGAATGCTGCAATGTATTTTTCATGTATAAAATCCCAGAAGGGGTAGGGAAGAAACTCTGTAATGTATTTAATAATACCAACCTCATATAGTATATACACACACACATGCACACACCCTGCCCCCAAAAAGAAATTTAAAAGTTTGGACCATTGTAGCCATGATATTTTGTGAAAAATCCTTTCCTTAGGATTTTTTCTCCTGAGAAGCTGAAAGGCCTCAGGAGCAAAATGTAAACAGTGGTTATCTGCTGATGTGGAATGCAACAGGTGGATCTGTGATTGGTCTCATGCGGTTGTTGCTAATTAATGGCCAGTCAGCTGGCTCGGACTCTGTCCAAGACACAAGCTTTTGTTATTCATTCCTTCTTTTTCTATTCTTAGCTAGCCTTCTGATGAAATCCTTTCTTCTATTCTTTTAGTATAGTTTTAATATAATACATATCATAAAATAATAAATCAAGCCTTCTGAAACATGGAGTCAGATCCTCACCTCTTCCCTCTTCCTTAGACCCCTGTGAACACTGTCACGGACAATTACTCCAAATTCTGCCATTTTACCATTTTATTACTCTTGGGTGCTTACTTTAGCAACCTTACTGAAGGTTACCGTCTAATCCAACGGGACTTCTAGCAGAGCTGCTTTCCAGCTGGGTGGTCCCAGTATACACTGATGCCTGGGCTTGTTGTTCCCAGCTTCAGGAGTTTGCATTTCTTGAACTAGACAATCTTTATGTCAACCCATTTCTCCATCCCTCTGGATGACAGCACAAACCTCTAGCATATCACCCACTCCTTCTAGTATCTGGCTGTCCACACATTGTAATATCAGCAGAAAATTGAGGGTGCACTTTCCATCACCAACCAGTTTGCAAATATTTAAACTCGTGTCATGTGATTTGAAGGTAGGAAAGCACTGAATTAATGAGTTACTACCTGTTCTTATAAGAGATCAGGCATAAAAATAGAGTCATATAAGAATAATAACAAGTGGTTGGTTTGACAAGATGTTTGCATGTAAAATTGTTGATGTACAAATTTTACAAAGAATGAAATATTTTACAAATGTCTGATGTACAAAATTGTATAATAATGTTACCTTACTATGGTCTTCCTTCACAGTCCAATGATAGAGAGTGAGAGCCTGACTTTTCTTCTCCAAGTCTATGTGCAAAAGAGAACTCAGCAAGTCCTCCATCTAATTTGAAACTGTAAGCTTAAACATTTGAAACCCACCAGGCTGGAGATGCAACAGGACAAGGTAAACTCTGTTCCATTACTGTATCCATTGATCCTGGCTTTCTCTTAAGCAAAAATGGTTAGGGGGAAGAATTATCTCTCATCAAAAGAGTTTGGCACTTCTTTTTTAAAGCCAGAACTTTCTGACTTTGAGGGCCAGTGCCAAACAAACAAGGGAAGATATAATGTCTCTGTTGCAGGAGAACTAAGAATAGATTAAATTTAAAGGGTTTTTCTCCCACTCCTGTAATGGCAGTATTGAGAAGGGTGTTAAGTACTTTGTGCTTATATTTAGGCAACCATAGGTAATTTCATTAGAGCCCTGAGTACAAGTACAGTGAAGTATCATGCAACAGTTGATATCTTTTCCCCCAATACTGAATTAACCAGTTCCTTTTTAAAAGTAATTCAGAATAGCTGAGTCAGTAAGGGTCTGTCTCAGTGCTATTTCCACCATGTTGCTGTTTTTGTGGTTTGCCTAACTTATGAGCTATCTACACTAGCTTTCTTCAGTTTTATATCCATGCCCTTATCATCTCCCTTATCAGAGGAAAAAAAGTAGCTAAAATTTTGAAACAAAAGACCATAAAATCACAGAATACTTAGGGTTGGAAGGGATCTCTGCAGATCCAACCCCTCTGCCAAGGCAAGGCAATGGTGGGTTTTGAATATCTCCAGAGACTCTACTTCTTTATTGGGCAGCCTGTCCCAGTGCTCTGCCACCCACATGGTAAAGAAGTTCTTCCTTATGTTGAGATGAGACTTCTTGGATTTTATTTTATCGCCATTATTCCTCATCCTGTTGCTGGGCATCACTGAAAAGGGTCTGGCACCTTCCAGAGGAAGTCTGGCACATGACTTCAGGATGTTTATGTGCATTAACAAGATTCCCTCTCAGTTTTCTCTTCTTTAGACTAAACAGGCTCAGGTCCTACAATCTCTCCCCATGAGACATACTTCAGACCCCTCATCATCTTTGTGGTGGCCCATCTGGACCCTCTCCAGTAATTCCTTGTCTTTCTTGTACTCTGGAGATCAGAAGTGAACATAATATTCAGGATGTGACCAAACTCAATATAACATATTATGAATTATTCTCTTCCCTGTGCTTCCACCCCCCAGTATTGTTATCTGGCTTTCTCACCAATGATTTGTGAGGAGGAGGCTGTTCTCTACGACAAGAGTAAAGGTAATCTTAAATCATCCAAGAAACCTACTGAGCAAATCAGCTAGCATAATTTCATTTTAAATAGATTTAATTAGCACTACTAGTAAAACTTCTTCACTACTGACAACATAATCATCATGACTATCATCATCATCTCATCATCGTTATTAATAACTATAGAATAAATTATCAATAATAATAATAATAGAAACAAAAAATTGCATATGCCTTAGTAGTAGCAAACTGCTTTTAATTTCCTCCAGTAACCTTTCTCTTCCTTCTCCTATCATGTATTCAGTGTCTTCACTGTCTTTATTATATCAAGGGCCCAAAACAATTAAACAAACAAGTAGTGCAACCTTTGAATTCTCTCTCTATATTACTTCCTGCCCTACCTTCCATTTAGGTATATAACTTTTCTTCTAGGAGAGAGTTTTGCACTTTCTTACCTAACACAGCTGCTTAATATCCAATCCTTATCTCGTGTTTTACTTAAACATTTGCCCATCTACCAGTTAACAGGTGTTAAAGTTGTTTCCTTTCTCTTTGTTATTTCAGTTTGTATATTATATTGTATATTTGTATAATTATATTGCCATATTTTCTGTGCAAGATAACATTGCAAGAGAACATTTTTGAAAGCATAACTCCCCAATAGTTACAGTATTACCTTAAATTTTTTAGCCTTAAGTTATAAGAAGTGTAAGTATAGACTCTCTGCCATTGAGGCACATATCCCATGACCATGCACTCATTTTAAGACAGATTCAGGACAGGTAAACTGTAGCTAAACCTAGAAACTTGAATCAAGATCTAGAAATGAAATAGACTTCTGAAGGCAGCAGAAGGTGGTGCAGTGCATCAAAGAGTGAAAGGGTAATTAATTCCACTGTGAAACAAACATGTTAGATCTCCATAAGTAAATGATTCTCCACAAATAGTACTGTATGCGTTAACACAAGCAGTTAAACTTAGGCACAGTACCTCTGCTGAAAATCTGTGGAAGCAATTTCCAGAGGTTCTTCAAAACAAATTCCAGGAACAATCCCAAAGAGTTAAATACAGCAGCTCATTTGTTTGTGAAGCACAATGGGACTCATTGCACTCTGTTTACTTCATTTATGCTTTTACTTGCAGTCCTCAAATGTAGAAACAGTACACCAAAGGAAAAAGTACAAAGAGCTGATACAGCTGCTGTACAACGAAAACATATTTCAAACTCTATTAATGGCATTCAGAGAGAAGAAAAAACCCAGCTTATGTAGAATTTGATTATGTTGAGTAAAAATAATCTCAGTGATAACTTCCTGAAATTAATAGAATGCTTTTCTTTTTTTTCCTTATTTTTCTTTTTTTTTTCCCATTTTTTTTCTTTTATTTTTTCTTTTTTCCCCTTTTTTTCTTTTCTTTTTTTTGGAGGGGGGGTGAAGGAATATTTTATATTTTTTATATTTTATATAAATATAAAAATATTTTTTCTATTTTACTAAATACCAAATCTCTCTGTGTGGTACACTGTAAAGTCTGGGTTTTTTTATAAATGTAAGTCATGGCACTCATATTTAGACTTTCCTCTGAATTTGCTTTAATAATGGGACCAAATATAACACACAAACTAAAAAATTAATTTAATTGTTCCCCTTCTTTCCACTGTCAGGTCAAGATCTGTAAGACTAACATGTTCCTGGTCCTATTTATATATTTATTTTTAATTATCTATTATCTGAGATTTTTTTGTTACAGTTAATGAGTTAGAGCTTGAAGCCTGAATAATTTGTTCTCAGTTTATTTAGGGTTTCTGAAACAGAAAAGATAAGGAAGAACAAAGAAATAATTTCTTCCTGCCACTTGTGCTGAAATGAAGTTAGTTTACCCTTTCTCCTTGTATGAAATATTCTTGAAGTACTGCTTTTTTTTTTTTTGTATTTTGTTATTCCAGGACTGTGTAATGCACCCCTCCCCACTTTTTCTCTCATATACTTCAGTGATGGTATTTTTTTCTTTGTTCCAGATGAAAGAAAGTTTTGCTGCTTTTTTCAAATCCTGGAGAGCTGGACAGCTGCCAGAGTTTTCATCAGATACCTTAAGCTCTAATTACTCTCAGCTCATATGGAGTTTCAGTTCACCTATGTCATGGGAAACAAATATTTTACTAACAAGCCTTTAAGCTTTTATAAATACATGACATCAGTAATCATTATCGTGTCCTGAGCTACTTTTTGTGTGTTTTGAGTGCATAGTTAAAAACATTCAAGCCCTTAAATATATCCAGAGGCTGTGTAAAAAAGTACAATAACCGGTGTTTTGATTTCTCCATTTTACAGTCATAGTATTTTGCATCAGTGGTGTATTAAGTTATACTGGAAGTGTTCAAGACCAGTGGGATGAGGTTAGGAGCAACCTGGTCTACTGGAAGATGTCCATGCCCTGTCATAAATAGCTACAACTAAATAAAATGAGTCCCACTCCGTGTGTGTGTGTGTATTCATACAAGTATATGTCCATCTTTCATCATATATCTTTGAGCACCACCATATCTAACAGACCTTGAAGGGAAGTCCTTTTGTTTGAATCTTGGAAACTTTTGTTTGAATCTTTCAGTAGTGCAGTTCTTTATCTGATTCATGTCAGAGCTCCTATTTCAGTGTTTTGTATATACATGAAATTATGGACTGATTTGGGTTGGAAGGGTCCTTACAGATCCTCCAGTTCACCCACCTGCCATGAGATAACTTCCACTAGACCATGTTGCTCTAAGCCCTGTCCAGCCTGGTCTTCAACACTTCAAAGGATGGGGCAGGCACAGCTTTTCTTGGCAACCTATGCCAGTGTGTTAACACTCTCACAGGGAAGAACTTTGTCCTAATATTTGATGCAAACCTACACCCTGTCAGTTTAATGCAAACTTCAAGCTAGCATCCCATTCAGCTTCTGATTTCCCATACAGCAGCTACTTCAGACAGTTGTAACTGAAGGATGATCTCTGTCCTCACCAGCCTTCCAAGGCATTTCTGGGAGACCACCTATGCTGGCAGTCTCCTTTTATTTATGCTTTTTTGGGTTTTGCAAAAAGATGCATTAATTTCTTTTTATTGCTTTTACCCATTCATAAGGGCATTAGCACTCAGAGAGATTGTCTGTGAACAACAGCAGTTGTAAGCATGAGCTTGTTGTGATCCACACATCTATCACTTATGAATTAAGAAGAAGAAATAATAAGTAAATCAGGTTTTATGAAAAGAATCTAATAATATATTATATATTTTTTTATCAAAAGAATCTCTGAAGATTGAACCACTATGTGCATGATGTCACCTCTCTTTATGATGAGAATGAACCAACTGCTCTAGACCATTCCTGATTTCTTTCAAAACTGAAATCATGCTCTTTTAGTCTCCAGCTAGTGGAAAGGTGTCAGGTGCAGTAGTGCTATGTGACTTTCACTTTTAAGCCACTATTTAATTAATTACTTTGTAATTACTCTTGCCTATTTGTATTTGTTCAAAGCAACTGATTTCATTTATAGTAAAAAAATCTATGGCCTTCATATACTTAATTTTTATGCAACAGAGTTCTCGTGGTTGATGTTTCTCTGGTGGCTTTCATTCAGCTGTTTCTATTTACATATTTTAAATCATCAATATTCAAATGCACAGTGTATGTTAGAAGACTTAAAAGTATACCATTAGTTTAAAACTTGCAAGATAACCCACAGAACTACTTGCATCAGAGTGGCCAGAGTAAGATTCCCATAAACTAGTTGTGAGCAGTGTCCAGGTTTTGTTCATGCCATGTGCTACACCAGAATGTGCAACTTTCACATATATATGACTTTTGCACCCTTATGTTCTCTGAAGGAAAGATCATCATCCCAGATGTATTTAAAATATAAGTATACAGATGATATTGTAATTAAATGACAGAAAAGATAAGACTGTTATCCGGTCCATTGCAGTTGGGGGAATTCTTTATAAAATCAATAGAGGTTCAAAAGGACCTCCAATGTGTCATGAGATAGATCTTAAAGAGGGGGTGAATCATCCTTTGGAGATTATTTAGTGACAGTATGGGGCACCACTGTAATGTAAACTAAGTCAACTTCTAGATTGCTCTAATATGAACTTCATTTGTTTTCATTCAGAAGCACTAAACCACTTATTGCCAAGATGTGTTGATGATAGGAAAGGAGAAAAAGCAACTTTTTTTAAAAAAAGTATTAATTAGGATTTTATAACTCCAACAAAATGCAGAAAAAGGAAATATGTACATTGACTTCAGTAGGCTTTGAATCTTGTCTTCAGATTTTATCAAGGGAGTTCAGCATTTGCATAGATGTATTGACACTGTCAAGTACTAGCACTCACTATACAAGATTTGTGAATGCTTCTTCTCATCAGATCGTCTGTCTCTGAGGCTTTATGTTTTAGACTTTGTGAGATTGGTTGAACAGAGGAATGTCATATTCCAGCAAAAGAGGAAATGTTCCTCTGGGTGAAGCTGAATAAAATCATGTCTGTTAGTCACTGAGGAGCTGTCTGTGTACAGTACAGTAATAAATGTAAAGCAAGTAATCCTTCATTTGCTCGTTTTGTAAAGACATAGAAATACTTATATTTTAAAAAGAACCAAAGCCAAGAAGCAGACACTAACATCCCTTAGGTATGCAGCCTGGTTTCTTAAGATCTGTTTCATCTTCTTCTAAAATGAAAGCGTTTTTCTTTGCTCCAAGCCTGACACACAGCCTTGTATAACTTTTAGTAATGCTGTTAGATTCAGCCTCTCATACTCAGTGTCTTTCACAATGTAGAATTATGGTATGAATTAAATTTTATTTATTTCATACTTACTGGAAATAAGTACACACCTAGTGGAAGGTTTCCCTTACCATGACATATGGTTTGGAACAAAATCATCTTTAAGGTCCCTTCAACCCAACCTATTCTATTAAATCTGACCTTGTATCCTTGCATATTTGTAGCATATATGCATAACTCTTTGCTTCTTCAGCCTGGGTGACTCTTCAGCACCATAACTATCTGCTAGTCCTGTAGACCATGTGGATTATTTTTTTTCTGTAGAAGAATCAATAATATTTATAGACTAGCTCTAATATAACACAGTAAAAAAAAAAAAAAAAGCTGAACCAACAACCAAAAGATTCTTTCTTCTCTGTGATGCTATTCTTATTGTAAATTTGGTTTATCAATACTTTACCACTCAACCAAACTCTGAGTTATATAAGAGATTTATTTGGATAAGGACTTTGGGATAGTGGTGGTTTTGGATTTTTTTTTTGGTTTTTGTTTTTTTTTTAGGACGGCAAGTAAACCGCATTTGGCTTACTATAGCAGTGCTTTTGGGACTGGCTGCAAGATGTTTTGGCTGTCATTGCTCCTTACAATCTGGGTTTTGGGTTCTGCTTTCAAAACAAGATATGAAGCCTTCAGTTGGAATGTAGCAGACATTCATGTGGCTATATATTCACATTGATACTGATTTACAATACTGTTTATTTTACAAGACTGGCAGAAAGCAACACCTTGGCATTTAAATACCCTGCATGCAGCTCTGACAAAACAAGTTACATATTCATTCATTCGATCTTTTTTTCCCCACCCCCCCCCCCCCCCCCCTTTCAAATGCAAGTATCTCTGGAATCATCTTCTGTAATCAAGTAGGGAAGAAATTCTACAAGCTCATTGGATGGTGCTTGACCTTTTGGGCATTTTCTTCACTCCAAAGTGTTATTTAGCAGTTATTGAGATTAAGTTCTCTTTCTTTAGGCACCCCTTGCTTTCCTAATATTTCAGTAACCATTTCTTCTCAGGCTTTGGCTTCCACTATTTATTCATTAACCTCAAAAAAATCTGCCTCTTGTAGTGATTTTGCTGATACAACATTTGTCCTCTATGGATCCCTCTGAAGGGACTCGTCAAGCTATCGAAGTCACCAACTAAAAGTAAATTCTTTTGGTTAACTTGATCTTATTCTTCTAAAGGGCATTACTTTCCACATCTTAACATTTTTTAGTGTAAGAGCTCTGCCAGTCTTTATCTTCCTCCCTTATATTTATTTACTTAGTGTAGTCTGGACCATATTTAGCAAAACAAACTAGTGAAATAATTGGGAGACTCAAATGCTACCCTCTGCTTTTCTACATGATTTTGGAGTGTGGCCTGCCTGGTTATCTCTTCGTCTTCTAGGAGGGAGCTGTTGGTAGTGGATGTCAAGTTTGCCTGTTTGACTACCCAGCACTCTAGGTGGCCCAATTCACCTAGAGCTTTGGCTGCTGCTACCCATGGATAGAACAGGGATACAGCGATTTGCTTTGACTTGGCCCAATGAAAGATTTCTGCATCACAATTTGGGTCCAAATTGTCTACACTTCTCTTATGAATTTTGCTGACCGAATTGTTCTTTTGAGTCCACTTGCCAATCATGGTTTGGTTGGATGCCAACAGGGACAACCGCCCAATGGTACATGGCCCTCCTAAAAGCCGAGAAGGGATTCCTGCCCATGCCCAATCCCCACATATTAAAAACAAACCTTTGGGGAGGTTCTTGGGATGTGAATGGTCTGGATTGTCTGCTGCAACATGGCTTAAAACCTTACACCACCTTTTGGCAGTGAATTCCTCTGGAAACTTTAATGTTGTTAGAAGTTTTGGTTTTGGAACGTGGGATAAAGAAGAAGTGTATGCGGTATGGTGCAGGGGAGGAGCCCAACAGCTCTAGCTCTTGAGGCTCCTGAGCAGCTCTGGGTAGCTTTGGCAGCCACTCCTCTATGGGGTTTTTAATCATTACAGCTCGCTGGTGATGGGTATTGTGAGGTTGTGTGTGATTTGGTTTGGGATTTGGGTGAGGTATAGGTGTATCTAACTTGTCAGTGAACTCTCCAGCTTGCAATGGAATCCCTACCAGGCAGGTAGACATTGGGTCTTTTGCTGCTGCTGCTGTGGACAGGCATATATTTTCCTGTTGGAGCGTCTGTGCCAGGGTCACCCAGATGTTTTGACGTGGCTGAGGAACGATCCACGAAGCTGTGAGTCTGTTCAGCGTGAACAGGATGACAACTCGGACAGGGCTCATCGTGAGGTTAGGTAGGAGGTAGATTGTCTGTTCTACAAAGGAAAACAAACTTTTTAAAAAAAAAAAAAAAAAACACATAAAAGTTCATGGGTCTGCTGAAATGCAGGTAACTCTCTTAGGAAGATTCTTCCTTCTTTTTCCGGCAGCGTCTTCTCTTGGAAGCTGCTTGCTTCTTATCCCCATCTGCTGGAGCTGGATTTTGGGGACAAAAGGTTTTACCCACTTTTGGGGTATCCATTGAGGGCCTGAGGGGGTGGATACACATGCGTAACCACACCCCCAGGTGACGAGCTCATAAGGATGCTTGGTTTCCCAAGTTTCTGGGTCCTTAATGAGAACTGGTGGACGTTGTGACAACTTAAACCGATTGTTATTATTG